ACATAAATACATATATGCAGAAATATAAATATAATTGAATGCTAATAATACCATTACAGCTAACATCTCTCAAAAACTTGTCCATTGCCTGCCAGCACCAATATCCTACAAAAATAATAAATAAAATAAAGAAATAAATAAATGCAAATTTTGTTCTTACCAAGCACAACACGATTTTTACTTAATGTACAGAAACCAGTAAATTTAGTGGTGGGAACATTTATACAAAACATCGATCATCGAAAAACAAACATCGATCTTTCTCGTTTTATTTCAAACATTGATGTATCGATGTTACATCGATGTTGCGCCCAGCATTACTGTAGAGCTGGAGAACCATCGATGAAACCACCGATAGTATCGATGTAACTATAGTTTTTCGATACATCGATGGTCGATATATCAACAATTTATTCTTGCCTTATTTTAATTGTATTTATGTTTCCAAAGTAACTATTGCAATTAAACATTTTAGCGAACAAACGCAATCTATTTCCTCTATACTGACAGTTCCTCTTTTAATATGAACAAATTTGTCGCTACGTAGATTAAATGGTTTTATGCAAACTCATTTGTAGCCTGATTTTAATATATTCTGTGATTTCTTAGACAAACATACATATGTACATAGATTTTCTTATCCCTACGCCTTCAGCAACTACGAGTCTATCTGATAACGCCGACGCTGCCAAATCTGATCACATGCAACAAAAAATGTGTGTCGGAAGTTTGGTCTCATTTTGACCGCTTAAAAAGTGTTTACCAGATGTCGACATTACAGCAAAGAATACCGCTCAAGTCACAAAACTTTTTGTTTGACGAGTCTACCCATTTTTGCAAAATATTGAGAAAACTACCATCATCACCGACTGAAGAGCTGGGTTAAAAGAAAAGCATGTTAACCAAATCATTTTTATAAACAAAAATCAATGGATGGAGCAAGAAGCTGTTCAAGAAAATTAATTAAAAAAGTGAATGGATCTTTCAATTTTTTATATATTTAATGATAATGAAAATTGAACTAAATATGCCGGTTTTGTTGAACCAATAGCCAGACAACACAGTGAGAAGCCGAGCAAATACGAACGGTCTGGGAACCAATGCTCGAAAATAAGTGTGCAAAACGCTTTACACTACGTGTCCGGTCTATGTGTTGTCTGGTTAGTGGTTGAACTTTACTATACATAGTATGTGAATGTGTATTTAATTTGCAAGATACATATGTATATGAATTTAATAAAGCAAGAAGTTTCGATGGAACCATCGATAATATCGATGGTTTAAACAATCATTGGGAAAACCATCGAGTACCGTCTCTATCAATGGTTCTCCAGCTCTAGTAGCCTGGACCTTAAAGTGAGGAACCGAGCAAATACGAAGTTGTGTGGGTCGTAATCTCTCTCTGGTTAGTGGTTCAATTCAGCAAAGTTTTCGATATAAATAAATATATTTTCAAAATGTGTTATAAAGTTTACATTAAGTCTTAAACGTAGTTTTGGGAACCCGATGTAGAATGTATAATTGATTTTGAATGTTTTTCGAATTTTAAAAAAATGTCTTCCAGTGTACATTCATTTACCGAATAATGATCAATTAGATTTTCCAAATTATTCGCCAGATCTACTGTAGTCTTAAATACTCTTGACCATATGATCTGCTCTTCAGTACAAATAAAATATGTCAATGATCCTGCATGATTTTCACGCAGATATAACTGACTGAATTGTTGCTTAAGCATGTTCGTGATAGTATTGATATTTGTCTCGGTATCCATGTCGATTCGTATTTTTAGTTTAATTGTAAAGCCGCTTAAGCGCTTAAGGGCGCAAATGTTATCCAGGCATTTGAATTCACCATTCGCCATGATGGCCAGTCGATTACATAGCTCCTCGCACTCATCCATGCTGCACATATAGAACAGAAGGCAGCATCTATTATTAGCGAGGAGAGTCTCGCGAAAGTTAACTTGTACCCACCTGTGTGATGTGAGCACCACTGCTCGACTTTCAGTCTGGAGGTCCTTAACGCATTTCCATAAGAATCGTCGCGATATGGGATCTACGCCCGTTGTCGGCTCATCCAATAGCACCAAGGATGGCTCGCCAATCAAGGCCATGGCAGCCAGTAGCTTCCGTTTGGTTCCACCAGAATAGTTTTTCACGGCCACATGACGATACTTAACTAAATCCATTTTCATTAACCAGTATTCCACATTGTTTTTCACGGCCCTTCCACCGTCCTCAGTCCTGAGAGAGAGACCACGTAGGAGTGCCATCAATCGAAGGCACTGCTCGGCAGTCATAAATTGATTGAGTGCATCGTACTGTGGACAGTACCCAAATTGCTGGCGGTAGAGCACTTCGTTTTGCCGTATATCAATGCCCTTGATCCGTATATGTCCACTATCTAAAATCTCGTTGGCTGTGATCATTTGGAAAGTGGTCGTCTTGCCTGCTCCATTAACTCCCAGCAGTCCAAAGCATTCGCCGGGCTTTGCAGCAAAGCTGATACCGCAGACAGCCGGTTTGCCTGCATAGCTCTTGTGCAGATTTCTGACGATCAAAGGATAATCATGAGAGTTGTTTGTGATGCAATCGTTGATCGTCTCCATCTCCTGCTGCGGACTGCCAATTCCAGCTTTAGGTGGTATCTTACAGCTCTTGCCATGAAAAAAATCGATCAATTGTCGGCGATAGTACTTGTTTTCTAGCACAATTGTGAAGAAGCACATGACTAGGAAGAGCACGACAAGTGCATAAGCGAAAAATACTCCAGTGGATGGCGGAGCAAGTGACGATTTCTTGCGCTGTGTCAATAGATTTTCGTTGATGATCCGTAGCTGATGGTTCAAATTGAAATCGGGCAGAAAGCAGAGAAAGGCAATTTTTGTCTCATGAAGTTTCATTGCCTGAATATTGCCGGAGGTGATTAAAGGTGCGATCTCTGAAAAAAAACATTGCTTCATGTAAGGCGAAGTGCATTAAATAAGAAGTAAGAAGACTCTAGTCGAGACTGCTCGACTAGGAGATAACCTGAACCCTCCAAGCTGATATTTTAATCATTCTAAAAAAACACGCTCTGCTAACTGCGCAGTAAGCAGCGACTGCGCTGCAGTGTGGGCAATGTTATGAGAATTTATTTGTTGAATAATTTAATTTGTAGACGTACAATCTTAATGAAACTTACAGAACGAAATCATATATTCTGTATGCACATTCCGAAGCACAAGTCTCTAGTAATTGAACTAATTTTTTTACAAATTGGGGGCGAAGGGGGTGTGGTATCCAAAATCTGTAAATTACAAAATGATTGTATTCATCACAGTAAATCTGAAACTTTCAGGTCTAATAACGTTCAAATGAGGCTGAAAAAACAAAATCAATTTTTCGATAATTCTCGATAAAAGAGTTGGCGGATGATTTATCGAAAAAATAAACCATACTGCGTATGGTATACACGAGTATGCATGCCAATTTTCAGCTCTCTAGGTTTTGTATCTTCTGCGATGATTCCTTCTGCCCGTTACATACTTTTACCCAAAACCATTATACCCTGATTTCCCATTTTCAATGGGTTCAGGGTATAAAAACAGAAGCCCAACTATGAAGGATTTGTCAATCCTTCTCAGTCTAGTTATAGGCAAGACATAATTACCAAGCTACACATGTACAAATATATATGTATATATCCTCTTGGGAGCGTGGAAAATCGGGAAAACAATGTTCTGCAATGTTTTGAAGCTGGAGATGAGAGTATTGGGACAGTTTATATTGCTCCCTGACTTCGTTAGTAAAAAACATGTATCTTTTGAATGAGTATACAGTCGGTAAGGCAACCAGCATGAGAATATAATCTTTTTAGTTAGCCTTATTAAGACAGACAACATTACAAAATTCGGGGAAACAACCCTGTTCTCTTTATATAACAGCTTTCAGATATTGATCCAGTTTCGATAAGAATTATACAAATTTCGTAATGCCACGGAATAAACAAAATTAGTTCTATACATCACTTACTACGATTAGCAAATTGCATAGCAGATATTGATCACTTACCTGAAACAATAAACATAAGCAGCAGATATGTTGAAATTGTTGATATCGACTTAAAGTTATTACCCAAAACGTACAAAATAGGCAGATAGCTGCAACCATATAAAAATATACTCCATGCGATTAGCTTCTGCTGTTCGACTTTATACAACTCATCGGGCATTATCAGCTGTTGGATTAAAAACAGCGTCAGGCAGACGATGCCATGCAATAGCGAATCAAACACAAAGGTGGCCCACCAATATGTGAAGCGTGACATGGGCTGCAGTTGTCGAAATCCGTTCACATGCTCCCCAAACGGCAATGCGATGAAATAGAACATGTAGAAGAAATTGGCAGCTGTTACGATGACTGCAAAGTATTCGAGCCTTGCGGAGCTGACATCGCTAACGAAACGCCTAATGGGCACATAACTAGCATCAATAAAAGATTTCGCTTCTCCATCTAGTTGCTGCAGCATGCACGTGTCCAGCATATTTAGTAGTATGATACTGCTGTGGTAGCGATTACTGGCCCAATATATTACTATACTCGGTTTCTCGTCAGTGGTGCGACTCGCTCCACTGATCTTAATCAGGCCAATAGTATCCTCGAGAAATTCAGCCATATTATCCCGCTGCATCTGCTTCAACTCTGTAGAAATTTTGAACCGAATAGTTAAATCTAATAATAAACATTGTATTCGATGAAAATTACCCTCATTAATGGTAAAGTTTCCTCGCACCACTAACGTTTTAGCATTAAGTCCACTATTTTGAATGTATTGACGTAAATGCTGCTCGAACTGTGTATCAAAGCCAGATGGGTTGTAGATATAGACACTGCCCGTGCGTAGCTGTGCGAGTTTTAGTGGCAAAGCGTACTCATTATTTACCACCGACATATAGTGCATCAGCAAAACAGCGAAGACAATGCCAAGCATAGATATGCATAGCTGTATGGAATAAACAAAAAAAAAAAAAAAAAACACATTAGGTAAAAAAGGGGCTGAAATCTAAATAATATTTATGTATGTATATTATAATAAATAGATTTATTTCAATCTGTCATCCTTAAAAACTGAATAAACAAATTAACGAATATATATGTTGGTGTTGGAGGAATTCTTTGGAATACTCTATAAAGTATTGATGCTAGCAAGTAAGTAAAATGTTTTTTGATGCAATGTTTGTTAGTTAGTTTGTTAGTTTGTATTTACCATACAGACAGTATATCTCCATTCTTTAGATAAAAATGTCAATTTTTTGTAGAAAATTGCAGCAACGAGTTGCCAGAAACGGGGCTCAATATTTTTCAACCGTTTGTATGGGTGTATCAGTGCAGATTCGCTATTGCGAGTGCCATCGGGTGTATCCACTTGATCGGCACCTCCAGCACAACTTCAGCAAAAGATGATTGATGTAAAGATGGCATGAATATACGACAAACACTAAGAACTTACTTCAAAAACACGCTCTCCAATGAGGTATCAGCAACGGAGATTGTTATAATGCCCAACCTATCTTTAGCTCCCTCCAAACTGCGCAACATGTCATGATATTTCAAGACACAGTCATATGGCAATCGAATATAAAGCGTGGGCTTTACAATATTCTGTAAGTAAATAATGTTTTTAAATAAATAATAATAATATAATATATATCTATATATAGATATATATATATGTTAACCTCCACGGAAGCATTCTCTATAAAATTGCGTATTTCAGATAAGATGTCATCTTTATTGAAATTCTCGTGGGTTTCCAGCTTAAGGCAATAACCGTTGCCCCATTTGCGCTTAAGCTCCAAAGGTGATCCGGTCCTTTCCAGCCTGCCGTTCGACAATATACAAATGGTGTCGCCGAGTTCTTCGGCCTCTTCCATATAGTGCGTTGTGACCAGAATAGCCTTCTCTTTGCGTAGCTCAAGCAAAATGTCCCAAAATTCGCGGCGTGATTCGATGTCTAGGCCTGAGGATGGTTCGTCTAATATAACAATTCTGAACAATGAAAGATTTAAAACACATTAGCAATAAAGCAATTCGACCACGATCGACTTCAAAATCAGTAATACCATATAAATTTAATTATGTGCTTTGTAACTTAAAAGAAAGAAATAAAAAAATAAAAGCAGCAACAGAAATTATTTGGTAGCCAGTTAACCTAAAAAGTTAAAACAAAATAAAAAAAAAAAACTTAAAAATTTGTTAAGAAAAATAAAATGAAATATACTTTTCCAAACTTAAAAGCAAGTAAAGTAATAAGAACAAAAAATTAAAATTTTTAAGGACTATTAGTAAACAACTATTATTGCAGAAAAAATTATTAAAAAAAAATATATATATTATGTATATATATATATATAAACGTTACTAACTTAGTATTGCCAGCTATGGCAATACCTAGCGATAGACGTCGTTTCATTCCACCAGACAACCGACAACCATATTCAGTTGCTTTGTCTGTGAGATGCAACTTTCGCAGTTTCGATTCCGCCCAGCGTTGCGCGTCGGAGCGTGTTGCTCCTCGTAGCTGGGCGAAAAATTCCAAATGTTGCTGGCAGGTCATATAACTCATAAATACGCTGTGTTGTGGACAAAAACCAATCAGGTGACGATACGACGCAACATCACGTTCACTGCAAACAAGAATGTTTCCCGCATCCTTTGGAACGATACCTAAAAATAAACAAAGACAAGTTATATTATAAAGATTTAAAAAATATATATGAAGTGCGGTGGTTGACGGTTTTCAATATACTGAGTACTTGGGCATTGTAGATGCTCGCTGATAATCTGCTGCTAGTAATCGAATGGAGTTCTATGTAACCACTGGAGCTGAAGGGCGACCAACCCACGGAGCTTGGAGGATAGCGTATCGAGGTAAGTATCTCAGTCTTGGAAGATTGAGACGGTACTCCGCGGAAAGTAGTTATGTGGTAGCGACGCACTACCGTTAAGTTAGCATCACAATCAGCGAGCGATGGAGCTTTCTTAATTTATTACACCTTAAACAAAAAACCTTAAAATTGATAGACAATATCCTAAAGGATGAGCCTGTATATGGTATACAAATCCTAATGTAGAGTCGTAGGACTGTTTTTATTTTATATATACCCATAATCATGTTCATCATAGTCGTCTTGCCGGCACCATTATGCCCCAGCAGAACAGTGATCTCCTTGTTGCTGATCGTCATGTCTAGATGGTCTGCAATGTGAGTCTCGCGTTTACTCGTCTTGAATTTCTTGCACAGATTTTTTATAATTATCGCATTTGCGCCACGCGGTGCGGTTGTATATTCATTGCGGTGGCGCTTCTTATATGTTTCCGGCTGAGAAGAGCAGAAAGATTGGTAAACTCAATTTTTAATAATATTTCATACTTACCTTTAGGAAGAATAGAAAGGGGCGCTTAAGACCGCCAGGCCCGGGAAATACGCATACCAAGTAGTTGTACAGCAAAGCGTAAAATATGGTCTGGCAGATGAGCGTTAAATAAACTGTTAAGATGCTGCTGAAGTCATCTTTAATAACTCGAGTCAAGTCAGACAATTCAAAATTGCGGTCTGCCATTTTAATTCGGATTAATGAGTTTGTTGATAATCATATAAAATCTTTTCGACTTACGTTTGTTACAGAACGTCTGCAGTACATTAACGCCTTCCAGAAAAGCGTTTGTCGAAAATAATTTAAATGCCAAATTTGTTATCCAACCACTAACAATACTAAACACATATGGTATTATAAGTAAGATAAGTCCGCCAATTTTAGCATAAAAGACTGTAAAGAAGTTCCAAAATATCTGTTTTTATACGTAAGGGGGGAATTATTATCACTCACCTGAAAAAAAGCATACGGATATTAAATAGGAATACGACATAGTGGCAATAATATATAAAAAATATAGGGTAAATATATATATGAAATGAATTGACCCCAAGGCGCCATATTGCCAGGCGATAGTCAAGTTGATCACCAGGAAGCATCCATACAATAGAATACGTAAAATGAAAAAGCTAAGGCCATTCAAAAAGCTCATGGGCGTAACGAGATTGAGAAACTCATTGATGCCATTTTGTTTCTCTTCGACTAAAGGTACCAGAAATGTGCCCAACAGAAGCAATTTGAATAATATGCTAAATAGTGTCCCGAAGTTGACTAAGCGATAGCTATCGGCTGGGCCTAGCTCCAGATTAGGGATAACATTCACCAGCAGTTCATATCTCGGATCAAGTTGCTGGTAGCGCATATACTGGAGATCAACCACATGTTGAAGCGTGAAAAAGCCTTCACGTATATATTCATCATCATCTATAGGAGAGTCATAACTAAGTATTAGGTATATCCGCAGTACTTATTTAGCTACATATATACGAACTCTTTTGATGATTAATTTCGTCATCATTCACAAAACGTTTTTTTGGTGAGCTGCGTACACGGTTTGATGAGAGGCTATACTTTATGCCGGATCCACTTCCTAAATCTGGCAATGACTGAAAATTTATGGCAAAGCAGCTCCCTCTGCAATGCTGTTCCATGTCTAATTGCATTTCCGCACTATTGTTGTACTCGTAAATACCTTTAATGGGAAATCTTTCTTTGATTATTTCTATTATTTCAAGCATATACAATTTTTAAAAACGTACGTTCATATTGAATTCCCAGTTCATTTCCCACAAGTTCCATTAATCGTCTGGTATTTTCAGTAATTGGCGCATAGTATACCCAATCGTAATCATTTCCAGGAAAATAGCGTAGAAGAGAATCCTGAATATGAAATAAACAAATGGTTTATTTTATTGAAAATAATATTTTAGTAAATAAATGCATATGCATGTAAAACAAGTAAGAAAGCTCTAGTGGAGACGACTCGACTACGAAATCCCCTGAACCCTTCAAGGAACTGATATTCCAATATGTATACATATATTCGTGTCTTTCTGCTTACACAAGAAACACACACACACACACATGGTGCCGGCTTAATATTGGAAATTAAAGATGTACTCATTTTCGATAAGGTTATTAATCAATAACAAAATAATATAGAATTTGGGAGATATATACATATATGGACATTTAAAATCTTATATCTTCTAAGATCGACGCGTTCATACATACGGACAGACGAACAGGTCTAAATCGACTCAGCTCGTCACCCTGCTGAAGAATATACATACATAACATACATATGTGATTTGTAAAGTCTGTCACGCCTAAAGAGGCGTGGCAGAAAGCTGCCATTTCAGCAACAGCCTAAGGTGGGCTGAGGGCACAACAGCCGACTCTCGCTCGTTATCGCCACTAATCTAGGCATACCGAAAGCTGTTATAATTTTTCTCAACGGGTTTTTTATATCCTCCGACGCTTTTGATCTTATTATCAAAAAAAAATATTATAGAAATAAAGAAGAAAGTAACATTTTTTTCATAGATCAATATTTTATAAAACTTTAAACAAAACTTCAAGTTTTCAACTTTGGGTACACTTCGTCTGACCCTTTTATAGTTAGGTCAATTTTAACATTTTAAACCGTAAATTTTCCTTTTTTTCTTCACCTAAAGTTACATACTTGAATTATTATGTATCACAATTTCATTTTTGTCATTTTTGCGCGAGTAATTGGTCAATATGAGTCGAGAAAAGCAAATCCCAATATAACTGCGTCAAATAATATTAAATATATACTAAGAAGGAAAACGAGTACTCCAAATTGACCGACCGATTACGAGCCCAATTTCGAACAAAAGAATTTTTTTCATTGTGAAGATAATAAAATTCTCTTTAAGACGAAGTGCATTGGTTAGCGGCACTGTTAAAAGACACGCTGTTAAATCAGCTGTTCGCTTTGCATAACCTACTATCACTCAATCGTGGGTTAGCGTTATCTCTAGTAGTATTGCTAATATAGTGTGTTAAACATTGCACACGGCAAAAAAAAATGCTATTCGAATTATTAGTAGCTTGGGCTCGTAGGCTATCCCCTTCCAGTGTGCAAAATATAATAATATCCTTTGGAAAAACTGCAAAACTTGAAATTCAACCAAGATCAGGCCTTTCTCAAAAATTTAGTGTCAGAGGTAAACGCCAAATTCTGGTCACGATAAACACAGATCCAAAAACATCTGCGTCAAAATTACATTTACATTTACATAGTCAGCCATAATCCCCAGACCTCAATCCAGAAGTATAAAATATCCTCAAAAGATTCCCTAATCTCAGTTTTAAGTGCCGAGTGGGTGAAAATCGCCGAAAATCAAAAAACCATTAGTACGGAGTATGCGTCGTCGACTGCATGCAATTGCTGCAAAAGGCGGTCCTGACCTAATACAACACTTTTGTTTATTTCGTTTCATTTAACCACTTTTTAATAGTTGAAAAATCATTGTGAACCTAAACTTTTTTTGCCGACTGTAAAATACTTACATAGTCTTTAACTTCAAAATCCTCCAATTGTGTTTCACTTGATTTATTTGATAAATGTAAGTACGACCATTGAACTGTGGTCGATACCATGCAGACAATGACTAAAAGTTTCCAGTTATATTTCAAATTAAGCCAATTTTTCCAACAAAACGACAGAAATAACGCCATTGCTAAAATTACTCATTTTTAACAAAGGCCGATAACATTATCGGTGTTTCACTGTTGAGACACAATAGGTTGCGCAAAGAGTAGTCCCATTACTTTTAATCTTAATTAACAGCTCTCTTGTGACGTCACATTTTCAGATTGTACTCTGTTATGTCAGCGGAAGCTTGGCGGGCACCTCAACAGACATCTACCAAGTGGTCTAAAACCACCAAAATTATTTATTTATTTATTGTTACCAAGAATTAATTCTAAATAACAATTTTTTGTTAAGCCAGAGCGACTAAGGCCTTCAGGCATTATTTACATTATATAAATTATTTACTTTATATATATTATATACATTCAATCTTACATTATATAACTGACCAGAGAACACATAGACTTGATATGTAGTTCAAAGTTTTTCAACATAGAAAAATCTGCTGTGCTTATCAGCATATATCTATTTTTAGACATCGTCGTGCGCGGTGTCAGTGCAGACTGTTTAAAGAGAAACAACAACAGCTCCGAACTTCGAGAACAATTTCGTGCGTTTGTGCTGTGGGCAAGCGTCTTCTCTGTGAAACACAGACTATAAACAATTGGACATTTTGTGACATGAAGAAAATTAATGAAATTAAGGAATTGAGAGGTGCTACACCTGCTGAACTTAGATCACAAATCATGCGGCAACAAAATTGCAGCAATAGAAAATAATGCCGATCAATCAATTGATTCTATTAGCATCAACACCAGCAACAGTTCCAGCGGCCAAGCGAGAAGCTCAAAAAATAAAGTTTCCAGCTTTGCGGTGGAAAGCCGCAAGCCGCTTCTCCGCTAACGCAAAAGCATTGCGTCGTCTCCTACCGATAGTCCGACAAGCAATCCTAAGAGAAGCTCCCAATCTACTTTTCAGAAGCCCATGTTGGACAATACGTATCGGAACAGATTCGAGCGATACTAATGACGAAGATGAAGATTCAATGTCCACTGAACCTATCAACCCTACGGTCTCACTGACAAAAGCAGTGTACTACTAATCACCGTAAACAGCAGGATAAGCTTAAAAGCACATCAGCTCAGCCCCGAGCTAACAGTCAGTCTCATTTGACTACTAAGTGAAACATTCCTCCTATCCCATTAGTGAAACCCAAATACTTGACGGATTCGTGCCTAAACGCTTCCGCTTCACCTGCCACACAGCGAAGTACCCTTCAACGAGCCATATGAGTTTCCAGGTCTAAGTGTTCAAATGAGGCTAAAAAACAGAATCAATTTTTCGATTATTCTCGATAAAAAAGTTATCGGATGATTCATCGAAAAAATAAACCATATTCAGCTCTCTAGCTTTTGTATCTTCTGAGATCGACGCACTTATACAGACGGACGGACAGCTATATCGACTCAGCTCGTCGTGCTGATCAAGAATATATATACTTTTTGGGGTCTGCGATGATTCCTTCTGCCTGTTACCACTAACCATCGACCATCTCGGTCGAGCGCATGAAGCTGAATGATTGTGCTTTCGAATATTTTCGTTGCCTGAACCTAAAAGTGAGGAGCCGAGCAAATACGAAGTTGTGTGGGTCGTAATG